AGATCCTTTTACAAAGAGCCTACCGACAAAAGTCTTTACCAGACACGTAGAAGGAATGAGAGTCAGATGTTAGGGCAACATAGGAGACTAGTCTTTGAGAATTAGATTGAAAGAAATTGTGGTTATTTTGTTTAGCCATGAGCTTATAAAGATTAAGTGGGAGATTGTTAGAGGTATGCTGTAAAAGCTATGTTTTGCAGATTCTATCAATTCCATTTTGATCTGGCAATCATGTTTCGGTCAAAGTACATATGTTTGCAGTTTATTTATTTATGAAATACATACTCCATGTCTTATATTGAGGTAGTGTGGTTCGAAGAGTTTCGAACAGAAAGATCACCTATCGGTTCCTTATAAGACTAAACTATTCGTTCACAGTCTAGACTGGCAGTGGGACCCCACTTGAAAAAAGACTGTAGTGTATTCTCGATTCAGTTGGTCTTTTACTGAAGGATTACACTGGCACTTATATTAAGTTTTTAATAGGACCGCGGAAGGCAAAGGTTATGAGACTCACTGACCGTTGTTGTAACCTCGCCCTTCAGTGATTGATGCGTTCTCTTAAGCTGTAATATAATATAAAATAGGCATATATTTTTATTTCTTATTTATTTGATTTACCAAGTGATTCCTATTCTGTTAGGATGACATACGAGGTATTTTGGTAAGTAAGAATAATTATATGATGTGCTATTATAGATTATTTACAGTCACTATGTTCCAGTGCGCTGGATTGTTGACGTCCCCGAAATGAGCTTAGAAAGGAACATTATGTTAAACCCTGCAGGTAGACGATTGTCTGACATAATGGTTAAAGGCTGAGTGGTACTAATTTCGGAAATGAATAAGAGGTTGATTAATTACTTTGTCTGTAATTTAATTAATCAACGGACGTTATATCTTAAACATAGGGAGGTAAATCGATCAATCAGATTAATATTATGTAATCATGGAGGCTCGATTTTATTAGTAAAAATAGTGGCTAAATGGGGAGAGCAATAATATTACTCTAGTGGGATGTTTTATTATTTAATTCCATTAAATAGGAATTAATTTTATTCCATATTAATTAATTAATTAGGAGAATAAAATTCCTACTAGAGTCTTCTCTTGGGATTAGGAGACTTTGGAGTCTTCTAGA